GTTGTTGGCATTTGGTTGGTTATAGAATTCTAGGTTATCTGTATTTTTCTTCATAATTTTGAAGGCATTGCTCCATTGTCCTCAACCTTGAAAAATGCTATTAAGAATTACTTATGGTGGGCCGGGCTTGGTGGCTCAAGCCTGTAATCCCCGCACTTTGGGAGGCCGAGACGGGTGGATCACGAGGTCAGGAGATCAAGACCATCCTGGCTAACACGGTGAAAACCCGTCTCTATTTTAAAAATAGGAAAAACTAGCCGGGCGAGGTGGCGGACACCTGTAGTACCAGCTACTCGGGAGGCTGAGGCAGGAGAATGACATAAACACGGGAGGCGGAGCTTGCAGTGAGCTGAGATCCGGCCACTGCACTCCAGCCTGGGTGACAGAGTGAGACTCCGTCTCAAAAAGAAAAAAAAAAAAAAGGTTTACTTATGGTGATATTTAATCTTTTGCATATACCTAATTTTGCTTTATTGTTCTTCTGAGGAAACTTTTACAGTTGTCTCTTAGTTGGTCTTGTTTCTGAAGGTTCATGATGATGTACCTCATGAGGATCTTTTTTACTTCTTTGTGGTGAGCTTTTGGTAGGCTCTTTAATTTGGAAACATCAAGTTTAGAAAATTTCTTTGATTATGTCTTTGAGAATTTCTTCTCTCTGTCCCTCCACTCCCATTTTCTTTCTCTGTCTCACTTTTGTTAGTCAGATGTATGTTCTGGATTAACCTCTCATTAGCTTTTGTCTTTTTTTTTTCTTTTTTTTTCTTTTCTGACGGAATCTTGCTCTGTTACCAGGCTGGCGTGCAGTGGTGCGATCTTGGCTCACTGCAGTGTCCATGTCCTGGATTCAAGGAATTCTCCTTCCTCAGCCTCCCGAGTTAGCTGGAATTACAGGCGCCCACCACCATGCCCGGCTAATTTTTATATGTTCAGTAGAGACAGGATTTTGCCCTGTTGGCCAGGCTGGTCTTGAACTCCTAACCCCAGGTGATCTGCCCACCTCAGCCTCCCAAAGTGCTGGGATTACAGGTGTGAGCCACCATGCCTGGCTTTGTCTCACTTTTCATTTTGTCTTTTTGTTCTGCTTGATGGAACTTTTAATTTTTTTTTCTTATTTTTCCTGTCCTATTTCTTGTTGTTGCCTTACCATTCCTTTTTCATAGCATCCTGCTCTTATTTCAAAGATGCATTTATCTTTGTCTAGCTTTATGAAATATACATATCCTATGTTTATAAATATCTCTAAATAAAAATGTGTGTATCTGTTTCTGTATATATAGTTATATATCTAAACTTCATTCTGCTGCCTTTATCATCTCTTTTTTTCTTGAAGTTACATTTTTTTGTGTTGCTGATTTAAGCTCTTTCTTTTTTTAAATAAGATGTGATGCTCTAATACAGATATTGCCTAACTATGACTTGCAGTATCTGGGTTGCAGCCTGTTTTTGTACAGCTCTTGAGCTAAGAATGGCTTTTTAACATTGTTAAAGTATTAGGGGAACAAAGTAGGCAGAAGAATATGCTACAGAGACTGCATATGGACCACAAAGCCTAAAGTATTTACTGTCTGGTCTTTTATAGTAAATGTTTTCCAATTCCTTTTTTAATGTCTGAGGATTCCTTTCATTTTTAAGAGATGGCCATTAAAAGCTGATTGGAAGCTCTGTATATAATTAGGGCTTGGTTAGTTTCACTAAGGAATAACTTGGTAATACTAAAGCCAGCTTTATTTTAGGTAGCCCAAAGTGTCATTGTTTATTGGTCTTTTCCTTGAGGCTTTTCAGTTTCTCTAGGGGAGAATCTCTTAATCTCCTGCCTGGAGTGTACAAACCTGCTACACATGTTTCCAAGGTGAGTACTACCTTTGAGTGTAGACTTTCACCTGATCATCCTGTTTTTGATGCAGTTGACTAAATCTGTACTCTCCTGTGCCTCAGGTTCAGTTTCTTCAGAGGCAAAAATCTTAGTCTTCTGCTGGAGTCAGAGTGGTCTGGCTGCATAGAAAGAAAATCAGTGGAGAGTTGTGAGCCCAGTTGCCACTTACATAGAAGTCAGTGCACACCACATCACTGCCTGTATACTTCTTAATCTTGTACCTCTTAAATTAAATTATCGAATTTTAAAGATTTAAACACAATCAGGTATTATCTGTTTGTATTGTATTGATCCATATGTTTTTGTATACATTCCCATAGTTTTGGTATTACATGTTAAATATTTAATTCAGTTATCTAGAAAACATTTAAGTTGTTGCTGAGAACTAGGATGACTTAATCTTTGATTTTCAAAATAACCCTGTGAGGTTGTGGATTGTGGTGGCGGCATTTTACAAATGAAGAAACAGACACGGAGAAATTAATTTTCATGTAGAAGATCACGTAGTTTAGTAAGAGTAGAACGAGGATTAAGCCAAACACTCTAGGTCTAGAGAATGCTTTCTTTACAACTTGGTCACACTATAGTTTAAAATAGTATATTGATTACATGGCAAGTGAATTATATTAGTAAGTGATACAATAAGTTCCAAAGAGGAAAAGAATGGCCTCAGCTGAGAAGGTAATGGTAAGTATCATGAAAGATGTGGAGCTTTTGTTGAGTCTTGGATTAGGTAGGAGGAGGGAAGAGGGCAGTTCAGATGATAGATTATGATCGAAGACAGTGTAGTGATGACACTCAGGAGATGGTAGGTACACTATTCTGATTAAGGTGAAGATTTGGGGACTATGGAATGAAAACCTGAACATGTGGATGTGGCCAGATCATAGTATTACATATGGGTTATTGGGAGATGGTGTTCTAATATGGAACTCAATAAATAATTTGGTTTTTAAGATTTATCCTGTATGCAATATGAAGTGAGGATGCAGTGATTATACCATTTTAGGCATTTGTGGTGTGGGACTGTAAAGCATTAGTGATAAGTGCAAGATCATGCTTCATGTCTGGATCAGACTGCATATAATTTTGTTTTCCTTTAGTGTTGACATATTTTGTAATTTCAGTATTCTAGGATAACAAAGTGCAGTGGTAGGTGTAATTTTTGGGAAATTTTATTCTGATGATTTGGTACCACTTTTGGCCAAAGATACTATTTTGTTTTTCGGTGTAAGCAAAGAAGTTGGAAATTGTCTCCTTATAGATTCTAGTAAACATTTTCAGTAAAAATAAAACAGTGTTTTTCAAACCTGGGTTTAAGGCATTTAGGCTATTAGAGATCATCGCTGTATCTTAAAAGCAGTTCAGTTGTGGTTTTGCAGCTTGACTATATTCATCTTTCTTTGTCCTCTTCTAATATGTAAGCTCTTCATTATAATGCCAAGAAAGAGATGGATGGACCTGTATTGTTTGATACAGGTTGAACATTACAGTCCAAAATCCAAAATGCTCCAAAATCTGAAATTTTTCCAGTACTGGCATGACACCAGAAGTAGAAAACTTTACACCTGGCCTCAAGTGAGAGATTGCAGTTAAAATGCAGTCAAAATTTTCTTCATGCATAAAATTATTAAATATATTGTATAAAATTACCTTCAGACTGTATGTATAAGATACATATGAAAGGATTCTTCTGATGATGAGAATGTTTTAATTCTTTACTTCTGTCAGGGCGTTCTATTCTGAAAAGATTTTATGTGTTACTGCTATAAGTACCACATTGCCTTAGGTGCTATGTACAGTTTTTTAGAGGCAATATAATCAATTGTTAAGTGCGCAGATTCTAGATCCAGACTGTCTAGTTTTAAATCTCAACTTTCTCTAATCTAGCTGTGATTTTTGAGGTTTTTACTTTTACCTCTCTGCCACAGTTGTTTTTTGTTGTTGTTGTTTGTTTGATTGTTTTCTGAGACAGAGTTTTACTCTTGTTGCCCAGGCTGGAGTGCAATAGTGCTATCTCGACTCACTGCAACTTCCATCTCCTGGATTCAAGCAATTCTCCTGCCTCAGCCTCCCGAGTAGCTGGGACTGCAGGCATGTGCCACCATGCCTGGCTAATTTTTGCATTTTAGGTAGAGATGGGGTTTCGCCATGTTTGCCAGGCTGGTCTCAAACTCCTGACTTCAGGCGATCTGCTCACCTAGACCTCCCAAAGTGTTGGGAGTTTACAGGCGTGAGCCAGTGCGCCTGGCCCACAGTTTGTTTTGTTTTGTTTTTTTAAATGTCTGTAAAGTAGCAATAATAATGTGGTTAATGTGAGAATTAAAAGTTAATTGGTATTGCCCGGCACATGGCAAGTACTAAATGATAGCTGTTATTTTCCATGCTTGACATAAAGTTTACGTAAAGGTTGCTTTTCTAGGTTTGTTTGCCAAGCACCTTATTTTGTTTGTTTTGCGATTTCAAGGAGAACAATTTGGTGTATAATGGAGATCTGAGTTCTAGCTTTGGGCCACGCACTGATTTAACCTTGATTAAATCAATTTGTGTTTGTGTCGGGGTGGTTCAGATAAGATGATCTCTTCAGCCTATTTTAATAGATGAGCATGTTGAAACTTTGGCTGTGTTTGAATACTCAGTTGAAACTTGTTTTCTCTAAAGATTTTCGCTTAATACTAATGTGAAGTGGTGATCCCAGACATTTAGTTTTCATACTACAGATCAACAATAGCTACTAGTAAAATTCTCAAGTTTTAACTTGTTGAATTATTATGGATGATTCCTGTGTTATGTGTTTAATTATAAATATAAACTGGTTTAACAGACATGCCTAATAAAGACAGTTCTGTAGAATAACCTCTACCCTGGCTTTTCATGTCACTGAGAACGTATTGCATAAAAATCTTGAAATAATCTTCCAGTAAAATTTGAGTGAGATAAACTGGAAATACATTCCCTAGCTATAACTTAGTATGTGGGTGCTCTTTTCCTTAATTTAAAAATGTTATAAACTCCACTTAGAAATAAATGTTGTAGCCAGATTTTATTGGAATCAAGTCCTATCAAGATCGTTGTGTATAGTTCCCATAAAGTTATTGTGGTTTTTCCTGAACTTTTCCTTCTGCAGCAAAGTTCTATTTTCATTAACTACACACTATTTTAAAGTAGAAGATGGTGGTGAAAGATCTGTTTGTGTCACCTTTGGATTTTTTTTCTTTGTCAAAGCAATGGCAGTATTGATTGTAACAGAAAATTATCTGGAATTTGGACTTGAAACAGGTAATAGTTTCATTCAACTTTAAAAATCAATTTTGCTTTATCTAATGCTAATATTTTTGACCTCAGTATTTAAGTTTTATATCTGATAAATATTTAAAATTAAATTTAAAGTGTATACTCTGTAATGTTCTAAATAATTAACCTTTATTATTCTTAATTAAGATCTTCTTTTTTTGCTTTTGTTTTAGCTAAGTTTTTAATATGTTTTCCAAAAATACTGTCTCATTTTTTTCCTTACAGTTAAATAAGTTTCTGTAATGCTAAAGTTTACTCACATAGTTAAAGAATTAATGCAAATTTTATGCACACTCATGGAATGTACAGATATCAAAGGGATGTTTTCAAAGCCTGTTCCTGCTAATAACCAAATTTTATTGCGTTATGGCATACTAATTAACACATGAAAGAGCTAAGCTAGTCACTTCAACATTTAAGATGCTCTGTTTTCTAGCATTTTATTTCCACAGAAAGATTCTATATTTCACATCTGTGATAAGAGTAATCTGTTTTTTTTTTTTTTTTCCTACAGGGTTTACAAATTTTTCAGACAGTGCGATGCAGTTTCTTGAAAAGCAGGGTTTAGAATCTCAGTAAGTCTTTGAGAAATTAAGCATTATTTAAATTTAACATTTATATTTTTAATAAAGCAGTATTTACTATAGCTGTTTTAAATTAGTAAAGAGTTTTAAGTTGGACTGTCACTTCTAGAAACATCCTTATTCATAATTTTTATGACTATATAAAGTTAGTATCTTTCATAGAATTCTTATATAAATTTGCATTTCTTAAATTCATCTCCCTCAAAAGATTAAATTTCTATCCAAGTTATATATCAATTCCTTGTTGAATATGTAAGTTAGGTTGTTGTGACTACGACTAAAGAGATACCTCATTTAGTTTACAGTTCACCAGAATCCATTATAGGTACTTGAATAATAGCAATCTTTTTGTAGAAATTTGCTTTGTTTTACTGTTATTGTTGTTTGTAACATAATTGATTAGAAGAAAAGAAATTCTTTGAAAGCTAATTATAAAAATTTATCAGCTTCTTTAAAAATTTTATTTTTAGGAGTCCTGTTTCAAAACTTACTTTCAAATTTTTCCTGGCTATTTTCTGTTCACTCATTGGGGCTTTTTTGACATTTCCTGGATTACGGCTGGCTCAAATGCATCTGGATGCCCTGAATTTGGCAACAGAAAAAATTACACAGTAAGCGGAAAATGTACATAAGCACATGCAGATAAATATATGTTTTCCATCTTAATGAAGGTATAATATTGTAATGTAATCATAAATTACTGTATTGAAAATTAATAACTATTTGATGTCACATTACTTCCTCTTTCAACTATAAGCAAGTTTCTTTTATTTGCTTCTAAATTTTAAGTCTTGTATTTAAAAAGATACACCATCAATTACTAAATTTGTCTTGCCTGTTAAAATGAAAATCTCAAAATTTATGTTCTTTCTAATTCAGGGGCTTACACTGCAATCTCTACAACTAAACTGAGGCTCCATAGAAATTTCCCTTAAAAAATAAGATCATTTTACTTTAAAATATTGTTTTAAGTTTTTATATGAATCTATTTATATTAACTTTTTAATGTAAAATTTTATTTAAAAACATTTTAAAACTTAAAGTTGTATGTAAGAGATGTTTGTTTTCCTTAAGTTATTGACCTGCTTATTGACTCTTATTAAAATAATACATTATTTTGGGATTGTTAATACTCTACAATGTTATATGTTGTACATTACTTCTAACTACCAAATTCTATTTTAGTTCTGAAATTCTACGTTAGTTTGAACAAGTCATATTTCATCTTTATATGTAGTTCAAAGCCCATTTACTGTATTCTTTGTGGTTGTCACAGATTTTTTTTGTTGTTGATGTAGACATCTTGGCAGAAAGATAGGCTTATATCTACTTCAACTCATATTCAGATCAAAGTTCCTGTCTCATCGTTTTGTTTTGCAGTAGAAGCCCAACTTGAGAATATTTCATTTTGATATGTGTATTTATAATCATTAAGTTTCTCTGGGTGATCTTATTTCTTAACATTTCTATTCTTTAAAACCTATTTTTAATGAGGCTGAGTCTTTAGTCTTTGCACATTCTTGTCTCTGTTACCTATGTCATTTCCCTTTAATTTAATTTTGACTGTCTTTTTTTTTTAACCTCACTTCCATTTTTCTACATATGCTTTATACGTGTGTTTACCTATTGTCACCTTCCACTACACACTCCTTCATCCTTCTTTTTTTTTTTTTTTTTTTCCTTCTTTTACTCAGCGTGCTTTTGGCTACATCCTGCCTTTCTCCCACCACCCGTCTCCCTAATGGCTTCTTTTAAGACAAAACCTGGTTCTCCCCCTCCTCTCTACACACACACTTCAGTCCACTAACCCCAGTGTTATGATTTAAATAAGCTGAAAAGGGTGGGTGGAGGGGAGCCCTTCACAAGCTACTGAAACCGCTGTGGGCTGCTCCTTGATACTAGAGTGTTCCCTAGCAACACTGCATACCTAATACTGCTTCTTTCTTCCCCACATCCGATGGTTTACCCAGGCTGTGGGATGAAAGAATCACTTTATAAAAACATTTAAAGCATTTAGTGGTGGTTGGGGGTGGAGCACACATTTTAGTGCCCTTTTTAGTAAAATGTGGCTTCGTTTTAAGATTTTTTCCCTTTGGGGATTTGGGGTTTTATTTTCAGTTATTGCAGCCCCTCATTGTGTTGTAGCACTCTGCCTTGATATAAGGGTGTGGGCAAGCTAGTTCTGTTGTGAGAATAACATGACTGGCACAAAGAGCAGCATTCTCTTCACCCCCATGGCCAGGCACTAGGACCTGTTTTCATATCAGAGGTTAGAGCGAGAGTTCTGCCTTTCCCTGTCAGGTGTTCATGGCTTCCTGACCCAGCCCTGTTCACTCACACAGATCCCTGTCATTTGCCTATGTAGTAATACTTTAAAATGTGGTGTTTGTGTGTATTTTGAATCCTCCAGTTTAGCTCTTAAGTGTGGTTGATAATGAAAGCAGTTTATGGTAATAAAATGTGTGAAGAATTTGCCTTTTTTCTAAAATAAGAAAAATGTTCATCAGCCATCTGTCCCTGTAGGGTACAAACTTGGACAATTAATAATGAAGTTATAGTGCAGACCTGAAACCTTTGCTGTATTAGGTATATTGCCTTGTCAGGAGTAATGCAAATTTTTTTGAGAGAGAGATAGATATATATATACACGTGTGTGTGTGTGTGTGTATATATATATATATATATATGTGGGATAGGGAAATTATTTCAAGTGTGTTCATACTCATTCAAAAAGAAATTAAAATGTGGAATCACTTACGATTTTAACAATGGAAATTAAAAATTATACATGATCATTACACATTGAAAAGTTCCTCAGTTGCAGGTTGTTGGAGTAGGTTCCATCTGCCATATGCCTTCTAGTCATATGGACCTGGCTAATCACTATCATTTACTTGTAGATAATGAGGAGACACTTTGTTTCATTTGCACTAGAAAGTATCAGATGACTCTTCTGTACTGAAAATCCATTAGATTCATTGACTATCTAAAGTTAGAATCATTAAATACCTGCTTATTAAATCAGGAATAAAGTATGGGATTACTAAAGAATGCTAGAATAGAAGTGAACAAATCTGAATTTTAGTCCTATATTTACCTCTGGTCTGTTATTGCCAAGAGCAAGTCATTTAACTTTTCTGCATCTAAATGTTCTCATTTGAAAAATTAAGATAATGACATAATTTCTCACAGGCTCAAATCAGTGTTAAATCATAATGATAAATATAAAATGGTAGTGACAGTAGTACCTACCGTAAGTAGTAGAATATTGCAAATAAGTTCCTACCTCCATTTTAGTAAGACTCAAGCTTCTGTAGTTTATTAGCACATGTTGTTTCTGAATTTTTATATTTATTTCTTACATATTTTCAGAACATTACTTCATATCAACTTCCTGGCGCCTTTATTTATGGTTCTGCTCTGGGTAAAACCAATCACCAAAGACTACATTATGAACCCACCACTGGGTAAAGAAAGTATCCCTTTGTAAGTATGGGCATTTGAAAGCTGATTTTTATCACCAAAACTGCTTTACTAAATGTTATTTACTGTATTTGTTTTTCAGTGATAAAATCAGGACACTGTATTTTTCAGACATGAATAGGAATGCTAAAAGATGTGTTAGAAAATTGAAACTACAGAGCATCATTTAACATTTTTGTGATCTTTATTAGTTTATGTTAATGATTATTACTTTGCACTAATATTATCTTATACACTGTTTTTTTTCTCCTCTTTACGTCCAGTCATCATCATTTTTCTGTTGTCATTGTGCCTATTGTTTAGATACTTTCTGGAGTTCTTTTGTTTTAATTGTGAAAATTATGGAGAAAAAAGTAATGTAAATGGAAACTCATATACTCAACCCCTATATTTGACAGTTGTTAACATTTTCCATATTTGCTTCATCCATTTTTTATTTTGTTTTTTGATGAAGCATTTTTGAATTAAATTAGAGACATAGCAGTTTTATCCCTTATACTTTAGCTTGCACCTCTAAAAAAGATAAGGATATTTTCCTATATAACAATAATATCATCGTACCTAACAAAATTATCTAATACTAATACCTTAACATTATTATCTAATACTAGTTTATAGTTCTATAGTTAGGCAACTATATTTTAGCAGAAGATGGTGAGGAAACAAACAGTTTATTAATAGGCATTAATAACTAGACTTGATATGTTAGCCTTGTAGAACTGTTAGAGTAATAGAAAGTTTCAGACAGAACTGGTTCAAACGCCAGCTCTCCTCCTCACTAAAATCTTTGCTTGAGGCAGATTACTTAACTTCACTGAGCCTCTGTTTCCCCATGTGGAAGATGAAGATAATAGTATCTACCTCACAAGGTTGTCATTGGAGTAAATGAAAGAGCACATGTAATGCAACCAGCTGGAATTAAGTGCTTAATAAATGTTCTTTTCACTGCTTTGCCTCATCAGAATTAAAATAGAAATACTTGACTAGTCATTGACTCTGCAGTGTACCTTTTATATTGTGTACTTCTTTTAGATCCTGGTACCAGTTTTTCTTGGAGTATGTATAAAATCAGTGATGACCATGATAATTTTTCTTTTTAGATTTAATCCTGTTGAACCCGGGAAATAGCCACTGAAAAAGTAATGCTTCCCCCCCGCCGATATACACTAATTACCTTAATGGTAATTTTAACTTGACAGATTCCTTAAGTATTGAAGAGTAATTCTAAGGATCCTAGGGTTCTAGAAAAATCTCAGAAACTGCTAATTCATATCTTTGATACTGAAAGCATTCCCAATCCTTCCTTGAAATTTGGTCGTGGAAACTGGATTTCATACTCCTGTCATTATGTTCTCTGATTTTATATTTGCCTTAGTTAAATTGAGAAAATAAGGAAACTAGCATTTATGATACACTTATACCAGTTATTATGTGAGATATTGATACTTTACATATTGTATCTTTTTATGGTAATTGTGCATATGTTGTTCTCATCCTGTTTTATAAATGAAATAACAGGCTCAGAGGTTAAATAATTTGACTAAGGTTATTCAGCCAAATCGTGTGTACATAAAACACTTGGTAGTTATACCAACATTCACTTCCCACTTCCAGTCTGATTAAATTACATGTGGATTCATTAGTAGTGAATACTTTATTTAATGGAAATGGGAATAAGGAACTTTTCCCTTGTGTGTATATTAAATTATAGGAAAAATGTGGTTTGTACATAAAGACCTGAGGTTCTCTTTCTATGGTTTTACCTCTGCTCTCTTTTATTATTCTTTAATTTGAATTCATGGTTATTAGAGGCAGTTTTTAATTTTTGTTAAAAATCTAAAGTGCATATGGTAGATTGTGAAAAATGGCTTCCCATCAAAGAGGGTAGGATGAAGGAAAAATGAAGTGACAGGTTCTTCTTCTGTCACAGACAAATTGATTTGTGGAAAGGTCTTTGTAATCAGAAGCAAAAAATATGGTATAATGTAGTTTCAACCCAGAAATGTATTTGAGTCCATCATGTGTTCTGATAAAGCATTGAAAAAAAATAAAATATTGGTAAACAGAGTCCATGTGTGCTTATAACCTCATAAAAAGAACACAGCATATCCCGGGAAGCTCAGAATGGCATCAGGAATTTAGGGTGATTTCTTCTGCCTGTGCTTTACCTGTGTACTTTAAGCCCCTCCTCATGCTCCTTCTTGAGATACTCTATCAGATCAATTTTTCAGATATTTATGATGATACTGAATAATCTAACTAGAAAGTACTATTTAATGACTATTATCCTAAATCCTGAACCCATAAACTGAGCAAATAATTTTCTAGTTCACTACCTTCTATTCCTTTCATTCACATTACCTGTTATCCTCAAAGGCTGTGAAATAGCTGTCTTCAGGCTGCTCCCAGTTAGTTGTCCTTGTTGCACAACTGGAGGGAGCACAGTATTGTTTATAGGTCCCCAGGAAAGGGTCAAGGCTGTGGGTAGGCTTGTGTCTTATGTACTGTTTCCCTCACATGATGGCTCCCTAATCTCATTGTTCATTGTAGTGGAAACGTTGATAAAATGTTATGCCTTTATCTTTCTTAGCCAACAGTGCATTTCCATTGGAATTTTATGTCCATGTCCCCTCATGACTTAATAAAAAGAGAGAGTATATAAAGTAAAGCCTTTGTCCCATCCCCATTTCTTAACTCCATTTCATAAACAGTTCAGCAAAATATTACACTTCAAAATTTTCCTATATTATAGTTTTAGTTATGAGGTTTTTGTTTTTTTTTTTTGTAAATCTTTTCTCGTTTGTTCTTCTTTATATGCATCCATTCTACCCTCATGTTCTTACGAATTTCAGGGAGACCCTTCTCAGTTCCAGGTTTTACCTGGCAAATCAGTCTGTGCATTACAACGGTCATATTAAGTGCCTGATAGGTACTAGATATAAGACTAGATGCCAAGGGTGGTCTAGTCACTACATTCAAATTACTTGCAATGTATTTCTTCATCAGAGCAGAAACCCATAGTCTTTTAAAAACATTAAACGCCAAAAGGACATCAGAAGTTATCTCTTCTTTCTAAAATTCTTTAAGCAACCTTCATCAGTGATCTGGTTTCTGAAACGATGTCTTTTTTTTTTTTTTTTTTTTTTCTTTTTTTTGAGACGGAGTCTCGCTCTGTTGCCCAGGCTGGAGTGCAGTGGCCGGATCTCAGCTCGCTGCAAGTTCCGCCTCCCGGGTTTACACCATTCTCCTGCCTCAGCCTCCCGAGTAGCTGGGACTACAGGTGCCCGCCACCTCACCCGGCTAGTTTTTTGTATTTTTTTTTTTTAGTAGAGACGGGGTTTCATCATGTTAGCCAGGATGGTCTCAATCTGCTGACCTCGTGATCTGCCCGTCTCGGCCTCCCAAAGTGCGAAATGATGTCTTTATGTTATGTGTTTTCACCTAGAATCCTAACCTTAAGTTTGAGGAATTGCTTAGAACCGAGCCAGCTTCAATGCATAACAAGTTAAATGAATTGTTGTAGAGGAATTTCAGGCATCTGATATCTTCATAATATATCAGAAGTTTTGATTTTCCAGTGGTCCCAAATGAAGGCTCAGCAGAGTGGAAGATCCCATCCAGATAGGTGTATGATCAGGCAAAGCTGTACCCAATGATGTTTGGTGATTGACTTGATTAGTCCCACAGGCAATCCCTGCAGTTTTCTTGCTTTCCCCAACTTCTCTTTTCATGTCACAGCCAGTTTTTATCCATGGAGGAGGGTATATAGAGAAAAGGGTATCATGTATTGCTCTACTTTTTTCTTCTAGATACCTGTTAACTTCTTATACTTTCATAATACATTTATCTAGTTCTGTTATTCAAGTGAAAGTATTATACAGATAAGTCTATGGCAGAGTCAGATTCTTTTGTGTGTCTAACTGTTACTAAGTATAGACTTCTTATATTTTATATGGTGAGCATTAACATACAACGAGCATGCTAGCATATTGTTGTCTTTGAGAGCACTATATCAACTTTTTGATCTGTAGAATGACAGAAGCCACATTTGATACTCTGCGACTCTGGTTAATAATCCTGCTGTGTGCTTTGCGGTTGGCCATGATGCGTAGTCACCTGCAAGCTTATTTAAATTTAGCCCAAAAATGTGTGGATCAGATGAAGAAAGAAGCAGGGCGAATAAGTACGGTTGAGCTACAGAAAATGGTAAGTTTTATACCCTAGTCAAAATGAAAAATAGCAAAAACCACACTTTTAAGGAAAAAGAAAAATATTGGTTTCCTTTAGTAGATAGTACTTCAACCCGTCTTATTCTTATTGTAAATAAACAAAACAATCTTAAGCTAACAGATATCAAAGAGACCTTTTTCTGATTTTGGTGCCACGTGAAGGAAGGGGTCTTAATTCTTCTTCCTGCCTTAAGTGCTTGGTGTCATACAGTGGATAGTACAAAGCTGTTTTATGCCTAAAATTGCTAAATGGGACCCTTCTAATTGATTTGAAAGACGTTATAACATATTGTCCAGACTTTAAGACTTAAAGAGTAGGAAATACTACTTTTAGTGGCTACATTTATTCATTTTAAATGTACTTGAATATGAAATGTAAGTATTTAATTTATTTGAGGCTTCCACAGAAGAAAAGGACAAGGAATCCATCTGCCACTATAATGGACCAATAACTTGATTGTATCTTTCTTTAAGAGAGGTAGTTTTAGCTACCTCCTTTTATTATTATGATTGTTATTTTATTTTTTTGTAGAAACAGCATCTCTCTGTATAGCCCAGGCTTGTCTTGAACTCCTGAGCTCAAGCAATCCTCCTGCATCACCTCCCAAAGGATTGGGATTACAGGCTGAGCCACCACGCCCAACCAGCTCCAGTTTTTTATTCACCTCCATAGTTAGAGACATTTATTAAGATTTAGACAACTTTTTTTCTGTTTTACCTTTTATATATTTTTATATTTTCCATAGTTTGACTTCAAATATGTTCATGTAGAATGGGGACTTAATTTTTTATTTATGAGGGATTTATGCTCATATGTGACTGCCTACTATTGTTATTTAGTTGGATATTTTAGGTAGATGCCCTTACATTTTGTTTTATCTTTGAAATATGAGTAAATGTATACCATTTGAATCTTAGTCATTATTTTCTCCAATATATATACATCATTTAAGAATTATTTTTAAGGAATCTATTTTAATGTTCTCACATTCTAAAAACTTGTCTTCAAATTGAGCCTTTCCAGAGTCATTTTGGGGACATTTAGCATTGACATTTAGCTTCCTTCTTGGGAAAGGATTATCTCTTAAACATTTTGGTATGACAATTATATGAAAGTTTAATTCACTCCTAACATGTCAGTTGTATTAGACACTTAAGAATGTTGTTGGTTGCAGGTGGCTCGAGTCTTTTATTATCTTTGTGTCATTGCACTGCAGTATGTGGCGCCTCTGGTAATGCTGCTTCACACAACTCTGCTTTTGAAAACACTAGGTAGGCATGCCCTGGCAACTAGGAAGCATCTTTTACTTTCTACCTATAATTAATAAGGCTTTTTGTCACCAACAAAGAAATGCAACTCTTAAAATTGTTTCTCTTTTTAAAAGCTGTAAAAACGATCCATGGGAAAGTTTTAGCTGTGGAAGGTGATTTATCATTTTCATTTTGAAAACTCAGACCCATGGTTTTATAACTTTATGCTTTGTCTTCAAGAATTGTTTACTAAAGATTTAGTCTCAGATTTACCCAGTAACTTTAGTAAGCACTGTTGATCTTAGTTACTTTTGTGTTATAAGAGAATGATTTAAGGTTTTGTTATTGCCTAACATTTACATTATTACAAGGCAATTGTAAACTTACATAAATTACAGAATGCTATGGTAAGTTCTAGTTTAGATAACTTAACATTGAAAGGGTGAAGATTTCCAGTACAAAATTCTACAAGTCTCTTCATTAAGCTATCAAGTCCCCATGTGGTGTTATTTAAGAAGTATCTATTACTGCATTAATTATTTCCCCTTTTTTTGGATCAGGCAATCAGCCACTGTTAGGGTTTAAGAAACCCAAAGGAACTAAAAGTATTATTTGGCTTCATGGGCTTAGTGGGTGTCATAGACCTGATGATAGGTGTAGGTGCCCTGTAAGAATCTATGGAATGTAGAGGGATAAGTAGTTCAGTTGTAAATTAAGTGACTCATATCCTGTCCACTATAGGAAAGTATATGATGAAAAAAATTTCTGGAAGCTATTAATAGGTTTTCACATTGAAATCATAGATAATTTCTGAGAAAGGAATTTATTTTGATATTCTAGAAGTAGAAAATATTTCTCAGAAGTTATTGAATCTGTCCTTGTCACTCCAGTAGAGTTAGCTGATTCATTTCTTATACAATGAGAAAATTGTTTTTGTTATTTTACCCATTTTTAGTGCAATTAATTAAAAGTATATCAGACTTTCTGCTTTTATGTGTACCTTTACTGATGAGGCCAGATAGTCTCCAGTCACGTTAATTTTTTAGGGATCTAGAAGGATTATTATTTTACTTTATTTTCAACATAAAATGATGTACTGTGCCTCTAAACTTATTGTTAATTTCAAATATAGTAAAGATTTTTTTTTAGTGAAAAGCTTTGTAATTAGTTACTCTTCAAATTGTATTTGTGTCTTCGATTTTCTAGGTAATCATTCCTGGGGTATTTATCCAGAATCTATCTCTACCTTACCAGCGGATAATAGTCTACTTTCCAATTCTGTTTACTCTGAATTGCCATCAGCTGAAGGGAAGATGAAGGTAACTGTTACGCAAATAACAGTGGCACTGAGCAGCTTAAAAAATATTTTTACTCCTCTTCTTTTTCGAGGACTTCTGTCTTTTCTGACCTGGTGGATTGCTGCTTGCCTCTTTTCTACAAGCCTTTTTGGGCTTTTCTATCACCAGTATCTGACTGTGGCATGAATCTCAGTTAACAAAAAAGCATATCCAAATCACACTTTAAATTCAAATATTTGTGCCCTTAAAGGGCTGATGAAAACCAGAAGAAAGCAAATATAATGGGAAAAAAAAAAAAAAACATATCAGAATGTCTTGTATTAAATGTTTCCTCTGTATTCTCAGGGTGAATTAATGTTGTAATATTTAAAATTACAAAATAGATTGTTAACTGTTACACTGTGGCATTGGAATTTTAACTCTTTGTATTTACTGGTAGGAGAGGGCTATCTACAAGGGTAATATTTCTGATTACCCTGGTTTACAGAAACCTCCAGCTGTCTTTGAAACATCTCACATGACTCTAGTTACTGATTGCTTTTAATGGTATTATGGTACTGTTGATAGTCATAGTGGCTGCCTATAGAACAATCTTCAAACTGAGCCATGCTTTAGGGGAGGGAAAGGGGCTAAAGTCTCTTCTGTTGGTAATATATTAGTTACTCTTGAAACAATAAAATCCAACAGAAAGGAAGAGATAGCTACTGTATATTACAGTAAAGAAAGCTGCATAGTTATTTTAAATTTAATGGAGATGAATATGGTTAAAATATATAACTACTGCTGCTTGAGAATAGCAAGAGTATTGTTTTAAAACATATTCTACCCAACTTGAGAGTTCTTTTAAAATGACTGGCCATATGAACATTTGTAATCTTGCCATTAGGCTTGGACCTGCCATATTTTATTTTATTCTACGATCCTAAATAGTTCCTTTTAATAGGCTAAAAATATTTATCAATACTGATCAGACTTTAAAGAAATTACTTTGTAAACCTGCTGACTACCTGTATGTATTGTATATATATTATATATTAAATATATAATATATTGAGATTATAAAAGATGAAAATATTGAATCCTTATAATATTTTAAGTTGCAGAATGTATGTTAAAAAGTGACTTGAATGAGATGTATTTGTATCTAGAAATTTTATTTCTTTTTGGAATGAGATTAAAATACATTTTGAAAGTTCAGCAGAGTAAGCAATTTATTTGTATTGCCTATGTGTGAGTGTATTTAAAGTTTGATGGACGGCTTAATAATTTCTCCCAAATTAAAATTCTTTTTCTGTCATTTCTGAAAATCAGAATCTTTCCCTCCCAAATCAAGTCTACAGGTATCATGTATGCCTTGGTTAAATAGGACTCATTTTAAATTTGTAGTTTCTAGAATAAGAAATATTTTTGTTTTACTGGCCAAAGTTGAGATAATTTGAATGAAACATTCAAGGGAAATGAAAAAAAAATAAAACTCTTTGATTCTTTTTACATCTGAAGTTTAAAATGAAGGGTCAAGATTGTAAAATGTATAAGAAATAAACAAAGGTAGTTTTCTTCTCTTTTTTTTTTTTTTTTTTTTGAGACGGAGTCTCGCTCTGTCGCCCAGGCTGGAGTGCAGTGGCCGGATCTCAGCTCACTGCAAGCTCCACCTCCCGGGTTCACGTCATTCTCCTGCCTCAGCCTCCCAAGTAGCTAGGACTACAGGCGCCCACCACCTCGCCCGGCTAGTTTTTTGTATTTTTAAGTAGAGACGAGGTTTCACCGTTTTAGCCAGGATGGTCTTGATCTCCTGACCTTGTGATCCGCCCATCTCGGCCTCCCAAAGTGCTGGGATTACAGGCTTGAGCCACCGCGCCCGGCCTTCTCTTTTTAAATAAATGAATAAATACTTTTCCATATAACTCTTAGGAGGCTGTCTTTATGTTTCAGTGCTGTTACCACTGTTGAAAGCAAGTTTGAAACCTTTCTTTTGGAATAACTTTCAGGGCTTAAGGTTCACATTCATTTGAAAATTTTAATATAGCAAATTCCTGTCTTTGGGTGTAGATTTAAATATTTTGGAAATAGTCATGTTTTAAAAGAAAAGGAATGCTTATACACTGCTGGGGATGTAAATTACTTCCACTCCTATGGAAAACAGTATGGAGATTTCTCAAAGAACTAAAAATAGAGCTACCACTTGACTGAGCAGTTTCAGTATTAGATATCAATCCAAATGACAGGGAATCATTTTATCAAAAAGAGACCTGCACTTATCTGTTATTGAAGCAGTATTCACAGTAGCAAAGTCATGGGGTCAACCTAAGTGGCCATCAATGGTTGATTGGATAAAGAATATGTGGTATGTATGCACCATAGAATACCATGCAGCCGTAAAAATAGAATGAAACCATGTTCTTTGCAGCAACATGGATGAAGCTGGAGGCCATTGTCCTAAGTGAACTAACTCAGAAATAGAAAATGAAATACCAGATGTTCTTTTATAAGCGGGAGCTGAACAATGAGTACTCATGGACATAAAAACGGAAATAATAGACACTAGGGATTCCAAAAGAGGGGAAGTGGGAAGGAGACAAGGGTTGAAACACTACCTGTTGGATACTGTGTTCACTATTTGATTATGGGTTCACTAGAAGTCCAAACCTCAGCATTGTGTAGTACACCTATATAGCAAACCTGCACATGTACGCCCTGAAACTAAAATAAAACATTTTAAAAATTGAGTAGTAAGTACTTAAACTGGATAAAACTCTTTGAAATGAATTGTGAAGATATCCTAATGACGCTTCATGTGTACTTCCAAAGAAAGCATTTCAAATATATTTTGAGAGATATCAGCATCATCAAAATGTGTTTGTTTTATAATAAGATGACACCAAAATTTAACATTTGTTTCTGAAAGTTCGCACATGTTGGTCTAGAAAAGAATCTCACCTGGTATTTATAATCATTCTTACCAAAGAGCTACATTTTAAAAAGTAAAATTGAAGTTATTCTTTTGAGTTTCAAAGATTGTACAGTGGAGTAATATGGGGTAAAAGACATAGAATTCATTATTGGATGGAATAATGTGTATTCCTTAAGTTCTGTTAGTTCATTCTTTTTAAACTTAAACTCAAAGTATACTCTGGCTTGGGCAAACCAAGTATTATTTTAACAGGTTTAGTTTAGTGTTTTTAGCCTTTCAAAGCAAATTTGAAATAATTGGTTTATTTATGCATTTTGTCTTTGAACCAAGAGTTATGTTCTCTAAATGCAAAAGGGTTTGTACTTTATGTAAACCCAATAATGTTTTAATATCCCCAAATTAGACCAATATAGTTCTTTTATTTTGTATTTTATACTTTAGTCAATATAATATGCTTCAAAGCATATAGTTATTTTTATTATATGTGTTTGCCCTTCTAATCTTGCTTTTGTATGATTAGTAGGATTGTGACAATTTATTGGTTCATGTCTTTCCTACTCTACCACTTGCTAGCAATTGCACTATAAGATCAGAGCTGTATTCTTCCTGCTACCCCCATTGATTTGTCTGTAATGAAAAGCATATAATTTTATCTTAATATCCATGTGCATTTTTATTATATTGGTATTTCTCCCAGAATCCCAATTGATGTGCATAAAATGACCAATGCATGCAAGCAGAATGGGCTCATTGTCTTATTGTTTCTGATACAAATATCATTGGTAAAATAGTGGCATTTCTTCCTCAGTTGTGATTCAGAAGAGATATTCATCCATTAATGGAATTGACAGCTCCAAGAAGCAATAAATAGAATTCATTATGAAATCTATAATTGGAACTTCACTGAATAGATTTTATTCTTTCAAATGAAAGATTAAATTCTCAGTATTATGAAGCCTAAGGTCTCAACATTCTCTGAATTCATACACAGTTTCTGAACCATCACGTAATCGAAAATGGTCTATCAAGGTGTATGGCATTATTCAGCAAAATAAAACTAAGTGATTTTTAAATGCAGATCATCCTGTGTCTTTGCAAAGATTTAGGTGGCTTAAGGAATCAGATTTAAAGACACTAGTGATACTAGAGCTTGAACCCAGTGTCTCGAATAGTTGTACCATCTCATCTTTTAACTCCTATCCATCGTATTATGTTTGCACCTCGGCTTTAGAACTGAGCTCGTTATGTGCTGTGAAGACTCTGACATGGACACCAAGGATGATCAAAAAGCTAATGTCTTGCTTGATATCTTGGGATTAAAATAAACGCTAATGTCAAACTTTTCTTTTTTAAAGTGGTAAACATTTTCACATATTTTTGTTTTCTTCCTAAGTTGGGGAACAAAAATAGGTCGAGCCTTTTTATATGTTTGTCTTCTATTTCCACTGGACTCCTTTTTTAGCTATGAACTCTTCTTGTTGGACAGGCCTATTTTTAATGGATCAGAGTGTGTATTTTTCCATCCTATTGTTTTTTGTTTTGTTTTCTTTTGTTTTCCTCCTATCACTCCCTGCATGCGGGTACTGTTCTTTCTCCCGTTTGGGAAAAGACAATTTATTTTCTTAAATAAAGTAGTAGCATAATTTTGTAGGTAGAATGCTAATCTAAGAATCAGAAAACATCCCATTTCTTTAAAATGAAGAATTTACATTAAATGTGTGGCTATATATTTCTTTTTTTTTTTTTTTTTTTTTTTTTTTTGGTGAGATGGAGTCTCTTTCTGTCACCCAGGCTGGATACAGTGGCGCGATTTCGGTTCACTGCAAGCTCCACCTCCCGGATTCACGCCATTCTCCTGCCTCAGCCTCCCAAGTAACTGGGGACTACAGGTGTTTGCCACCACGGCTAGCTTTTTTTTTTTTTTTAGACAGAATCTCGCTCTGTCGCACAGGCCGGAGTGCAGTGGCACAATCCCTGGCCACTGCTAGCTCTGCCTCCCAGGTTCACGCCATTCTTCTGCCTCAGCCTCCCGAGTGACTGGAACTACTCACCACGCCCTGCTAATTTTTTTTTTGTATTTTTAGTAGAGACGGGGTTTCACCATGTTAGCCAGCATGGTCTCGATCTCCTGACCTCATGATCCACCCGCCTTAGCCTCCCAAAGTGCTGGGATTACAGGCATGAGCCACCACGCCCAGCCGGCTATATATTTCTAAATGTGGTAACTGATTTATCTGTGTTATGAGAAAAACATAACAGCTATGTTTGATTTTAGGAATGGTTACAGATCATGTTGGAGGGCATTCATTTATTGTTATTTGAAAATGACTTCACAAAGAGTGTTTTCTCTGGAATAATTTGGTTTGTACCCATTTAATTATTTTTCAATAAATATCTGTTCAGTGCCAGTAATGTGCCATAGGCTGTTCCACGTACCCTAGCTACAGCAGTGAACAAAACAGCAAAATCGCTTCCCTCCAAGAGCTTAGCATCTAATGGGGAGAATGCAGACAGTAAATTAAGATGAAGAGTCTAATATGGCATATCTGTATGTATATTGTTGAGCTGATGTCCCTGTTGGGGGAAGGAGGGTCTAGGACTTTCTCTTCTGCCATCTTGCTGACGTCATTCTCCGTTTGGAATTACATCTTTAATATGCTAAAAGAAAATAGCCACTAATGTAAGATTCCATGGCTTTTAATAGAAAGACTTTAAAAATAAAAACTAAGGAGATTTGTGGTCAGGATGAAGGGCAGTAATCATAGATGAAGACATGGAAATGGACAAGGAAGGCATTTTAAATATTTGCAAATGGACAAAAAACATTTATTGAATGCCTCGTGTTATTTTAAAATTCAGCATATCTAAAGTTCACAATAACAATGGAAAAGGAAAGGATAAATGAAGTTAAAATAATGTTTTTAGCAGTATCATGAAAGTGTGAATGTAATTTGTATTGTGATAAAAGATTAATGTACATTGTAATCTCTAAGATAATCCATAAAAGAATCCATAACAAGTAAATAGAAGAAGGAAATGGAATAATATTTAAAAGATGAAAACAAACCATATAGGACTGCAATCAAAAGTAGTGGAAATGAGCACAACTATATCAGAAATTAGATTAAATGTAAATGGACTAAATACCCCAAATAAAAGTATTTTCAGATTACTTAAAAACAAAACTGTATGACTATATGGCACTTTTAAGAGTCAAATCTAAAGTTAAAAAGGCACAAAATTGAAAGTAGTAAAGTGAAATACTAAAGGAAACCTAATTTAATTA